CCCACACCCCACACCCACACTTGAACTTGACTTGACTTAACTTGGACTTGGACTTGAATAGTGACTGTATTTCTAACTTAAGAAGTCACTAACTTGTCCAGTCCTGCTTCCAGCTTGACCTGCAAGTCAAACCAAGTCAAGTCAGAAGTGTTTAAAAATTTTTACCAATGAAATCAGATTACGTCGAGTAAATGTTTGACTTGACTTGTCTTGGACTTGATTTGACATGGACTTGACTTGACTTGACTTGAGTTGGTCGGAAAATTTTTCGGATCTGACTTGACTTGATTTGCTCGAAAAACTTCTCGGATCTGGCTTGCCTTGACTTGACTTGGAAGAAAAATTTTTTGGGTTTGACTTGTCTTGAGTTGAGTTGATATATTTTTTGTTACTTGACCTGACTCGAGACTTGAAAAATCTGTAAGTTGCGCATCTCTGCACCTACCTACACCAACACCGACATGCACATCCCCACCCCACACCCACTTTTCACACCCGCGCACAAACAGAAACATTCATCTGCTAGTGAAAATGGATGGGTTCGATATTTGTATTGATCACATCGCATTGTTACTTTCACCGAATAGCAAAACAAACGTAGGAATATTTTTGTTAAATTTAAAAACATTTTCATTAGCGACGTTCTACTTCAAATTTATGAAGTATGAGTTCAAAATAGTTATTATGATAGAAGGCTCGCATTGATTCGATCATTTGCTCTCAAACCTTTGAAATAAAAATGATGAGAGCATTCTTTAATGGAAAGCTGCCGGCCATGTCACATTCTAATTATCAATTAAGCATAAAGCTCTGAGTATTGGCATTGGTGCCAGTATCTGTTACTAGACGATCATGATGATAACCGTCATGATGTGTTGAGATCTCATTGTTATCCGTCACAACCTAGAAGCGAAGACTTTGTGAATAAAATTAAGAATTTAATCTTGGCATGAACAGCAGACAAACCTTCGATGATGTATTCTTGTGAGTTCTAGTGAGAAGCGTTTCAATCCCAGGAAGTGAAGATGTGTGTGACAAAGTTTGATTATGTTGCCGCGGTAATTGAATGGAGTGGTTTGAAGTTGTTGCTATCTCAGGATAAGGCGACATGTTGTCCCAGATCAAAGCTGACGTGTCTTGGTCATAGAGCTTCAATTTTATAAAGCATAATGTAAAAGTGAGAAAAAACACACTGCAACTGCAACAATATTACTGAATTCAAGGTTAGAAGTAGGAGGCGCTTTTTATGCCATATTCTACAGATGCACCACAAGAAAAACAATGAAGGTGGTATTGCGTACTTATGTTGAGCAGGACTTTCTATTCTTTTGGTCTACTTTGCGTTCAAGCACAGGGAATACGTGCGTTACATCATTCTCTTGTTATCTTCATGCTACCATTTTCTATTCATTCTTCGACGACTCAATGCTGTTCTAGTATTTTTCTCTTCTTTAATTTAACTTCAGGTATAAATGCATAAATTTTAGATGCAAAAAGTATTTTTTAGGGTAAAACTGATATAACACATCAGCAAAAAAGCAAGTAACCCTATTGCTATTGATTGAAATAGACGTAAAGAAACCAGAGCAATGCGAATGTTTTTCAGATGCATATGATATTATAATGCGACCTGAAACACTTCATTGTGTTTAAACACTCGTTTTGACTTCATTTGATATGGATCGGAAGAATATTTGCACTTCTTGTGCAAGGTTCAAAAGAAGTACCTAAGAAAAGACGATGAAAAATTAATAGTGGTCAGAGTAGAACGAATTAAAATGAATAATGAATTCAAGATATTATAAGCTAGCTTTCAACAGATAACATTTTCGTATAGTACTATTTCTGATAATGATAAAATGAAGATGCAAATTCAAGTGCCAGTGTAAGGGGTAGTTATCACTGCTACTTACGATTGTTTGTTGCTGCTCGTTCCCAAAATCCATATGTATCGTTTTTAATGAATTCTCGAAATCGATATCATTTTGGTTGTCTACCGATGTTGTTGTCACCATCGACTGTAAACGGCTTCCCTCTAAAAGTGGTAACGATGTATTTCAATAATAATCTTCTCAGCAATATCATACGTTGATTTAGATTGCTCACGTTCATAGCTGCAGATGATTGAAGAACATATGTTTCATTTTGACTCAGAGAAATATAATGACTTGGCACATGTACCTAAACCGCCATGACTCTCTAGTTTTCAATATTTACGGGGTCAAAGAAACTAGCCTGAAAAATGGTCGAATCGATGATTGTTTGGTTTGACACCACTGCTGGATGACACTCTACGAGCTGAATGTTTTGATCGTGAAGCTGTGCATTGCTAACTGGTGTCGAACAGTTTGCCAGTTGTTGAGGACGCTCACTAGAAACTCGAGGTTCATGAAGACTGTTGTTCTCTGGAGTAGAAGGTTCCATTGTATCTCGGTAAAGCCCTTTGCCTTTTGAAATGCGTTTCTTACCAGTCTCTAATAGATTCAACAAAGTGTCTGGATGAAATATTTTTACAGAAACACAATATTTACCGCATTGATTCAAGCCTATTTTTCGTTTCATAAAACGTATTGGCATTTTTTCCACAAGTATACCATTGCTGTCAGTAATATCAATATGTCCAGCTTCATTCGTCGATTCTAACAAAAATATGCACCAGTCTTGTCATATACGAGCAAGAGAAGTGAATAAATTTTACTCAGAAATATCATTGGCTTGGAGAGCACTAACTTATCCCACAAAAAATGTCCAGATTGTTCCAGAAGACAAGCCAAACGAGTTGTTTCATAATTTGTATCACTGGTATACTGATTCGTTAAATCACAGAACCATATTTTTGCTTTCTTCGGATCAGTTTTCTTCTGAAGAACCACTATCGTTTTTAGTTTTAGTCTACAAAATTGAAATTTAAAGGGAAGAAGAGAGCAATAATGAAAACTCTCGCTTACTTTTCCCCCTCATTACTGAACATATTGTCATTCAGAGGAAGAATAATGGCATCTTGCTGATCAATAGCTCTAAATGTATGAATAGAAAATTTGTTTTTGTTAAGAAAAAGTAAACGACAAAAGGTAACTGTTTACAACTCACTTGTTTGGAGGACCGCTGAGCGCCGTATCGTTGTTCAATGAATCGAATCTGTTTATTTTATCATTTTCTTTAGTAATAAATTTACGCTCTTCGGAATAGAAAAGCGTACGTATTCCATTTTTGCAGATTTCATATACAATAAAAATATGTAAGCGAGAATTTTCTCTTTCTTCTTCGGGAATCATTGCTGGATTGATCTATGAACATAACTTTGCTGAGTTGCCATATAAAATTAACAGTGGAGAGATTTAGAAACAGAAAAGTATGGAATTTTTCTATTGTAAATTAAGTTTGTGGATGTTAGTGTTGGTGTGGTGTGGGTGTGGGTGGATGTGGGTGAGGGTGTGGTGTGGATGTGGGTGGGTGTGGGCGAGGGTTTGGTGTGGGTGTGGGTGTCGGTATGGGTGGATGTGGGTGTGGGTGGCATAGGATGGGGTGGACATGGTGTGGGTATCAGTGTATGAATGGGTTTGGGTGTGAATATTGATCATTTATTACATCAATTCACAAGCAACCCTCAAATATTGATACACCCATACCCACAATCTCTATTGAAAAAATTCTCCAATAACTTCTTCCATTTGGAACGTCTTCGAGATTTTGGTTTTCCACATTTTGTTATTTTACCAATGGCTATCTTTTAGTAACTCAGTATAATTTGCTGTATTTTAAAACAAAGATATTTACTTGATATTCCGGCAGCACTTGTCCATGTATTGACTTTCCTTCTAAACTACTTTTATCCCCTTGAATATGAGAGAAGTAGCCAGTATTTTGGTTTCTATTTACATTTTTAATATCAGTTATATACTGGTCTCGCTGAATATTGTTTACATTAGTTATGAACCTCATTCCTTGATCGGTACTGTTTATCGTGATAGGATAGGGCGCACAAACAACGGAGAAGCTTTTTGGAAAAGGTTCTCCAGCATAATCACTGTGAGGTTGTTCAACGAGAGAGTTCGGAGCTATGATAGAAGAAAATAAAGAACAGTTTGAATATCTCTTAAATTATCTCACGTCCTTGATTTGTCTGGTGCATAGTAATTGGATATGGCGTATTCGATATTGGTTGATGATCACCTACT